GTAATTAAGAAAGATAGGATCATAAAAGAATCATGAAAATGAGAGTGTTGCCGTTTTTCGTGGGGGAAGATTAGGAAAAGAGGGTTCATTTAAATAACAAAATAACACAAGTTTTTTCTTTTCTTTTGCCAACGGAGTTTTTTTGATAGATACGGCTGGCAAAACCGCGGAAATCCTAACATAAAAATGCATTGTGTAAGAATCCACAATTTCCCCTTTTTCTTTATTTCAGTGAAGTAAAAAAGAAAGTAAATAAAAAAGGAAGAAAGTATAATAAGAAATAGCACTTTGATTTTCTATTTTCTATAATATAAAAATGGAAAAAGGGCCCGGCTAGGTACTGACCAGGCCAGGCCATGGGAATAAACTCTTTCGGACAAAATCAAAGTAAGGAGGTCTTCTTTATTTTGATTTATATTGGATTTTTCCAGTCCTTACTTTATCTAAATGGAATTACTAATAAAAGTTGTATATCTATATACTAAAGATAAGGGGAGAGAAAAGAGAGAGAGAAAGAAAGACTTTTACTACTTTATGTGTAATGTACCTTACTTTATACATTATGTGTAATGTAACATAGTAATTAATTATCTTTTTTTTTTTCAATTGGGAGAGATGGCTGAGTGGACTAAAGCGTCGGATTGCTAATCCGTTGTACGAGTTATTCGTACCGAGGGTTCGAATCCCTCTCTTTCCGTTGATGACTTGATATTTGCTTTATCTTTCAAATTTCCCCAACCCTTGGTTAAACGTGGAATAGATAAAATCCTAATAAATTTGAAAAATCAAGTAAGGAAAACGAAAAGCCTTTTTCTTTTATTCTTCACGTCCAGGATTACGTCCCGGATCATTAGATAGGAATCCAAAGATGAAAAGAGAAACAAAGAATATCACTACTGTGTAAACAAAGAGTTTAAGAGTAAGCATTACACAATCTCCAAATCATTTTTTGGAAAAAAAGAGAATAGATCCTCCATTTTTATACCACATATCCTATTTTGACCCCAAGAAATGAAGTACTTTCTACAAATAGAAAAGAATATTCAGAAATTCAAAGTCATTTGTAATAAGAGTCTTTTATTACAAAAATTTTCTTTCATACCTACAATTCGATATTGTGGGGAACCTTAAGCCTATTAGGGCCTTTCGCTGGAAAAAGGTCATAATGGGGAAATGGGATGATCCAGATTTATCGCAGCTTTCCAAGAATTTCAATGTTTGAATCGAGGGTTCATATTGTAAGACTTATCTGATCTTATCAATTGTTAGAATTTTTTCCTCGAATAAATCATGAATTTTCTAGGATAGTATTAAAAAAGATCTCATCGAAAACTTACAGCAGCTTGCCAAACAAAGGCTAAGAGAAAGAAGAGCACAGGTATGACTGGCATAACATTCACGATTGGATTCAAAAAAGCATAGGACTCGGGCAATTTGGCGATGAAAAAACTACTCGAATAAAGGGCAGAATTAAGACAGATACAGATCAAACTAAAGATATTAAGCATAACAGACATTTTGTTCTTGGAGATAATTGCATTTTGCTTGAGTTATTGATATAAAGAAAAATAAAGTAAAATAAGGTAGACCAAAAAATCTTTCTTTTTCTTTGAACTCACCCAATCAAAAATCCTCCATTTCTCAAAGGAGAATAGAAGAAATCATACTTTCATACAATATCTTAATTGAATTATATGTAATGATCAATAAATTCAGTTTAATTCTATATCTACACGTGTTAAAATCCTAGCAACAATCTAATTTATTTTAGAGATATTTGGGCTGGAATTGACGAACAATCAATACCAATATTAGTCTTTATTAGTGTCGAATATAAATCGAAATGGGGCGTGGCCAAGTGGTAAGGCAACGGGTTTTGGTCCCGCTATTCGGAGGTTCGAATCCTTCCGTCCCAGAGCATATCCATTCTATTAGAATAAAGATTGTGTTTTTGAAAAACTTTCTGTTTAAAGATCTAATATTGGGTCGAATGTGATTCTTGTTTCTTATTTTTAATGATTCTTCTCTGAATCATATCTTTTTTTTTCACAAACTGGAATCGAGTTTAAATGACACGCAAATATAACTGAATCTATCTGTAATCCGGGTAAAATGGGAATATAGATCACAAGAGTTTGAATTCAAAAAAGTTGGGCGGTCTTTTCATCATATGCTCAGTCCCTTCATATTGAAGGAAGCTGGTTACTTCGAAAAACCTTACGCCCGTATCGAATTGAATTTTCAATGATGCATTTTGAATTGAAATGCGAAAGAAAAGCTCCTATATTCCCTATCTCTTATTCTCTATCCTTTCAATGAGAGGGCCCCGGTTATTAATTCTCTGTAAATCTCCGAATTCTAAGGATCTCTTGAATTCTAAACAAGAGGGAGTTCTTGGTACTAATTGAATTCAATCAATGGGATTAAGTTTCTTAAGACTGGGTTAGGATAGAATAAAAAATAGGAGCAAGGACTTAATCCGGACTTGTTTGGTTTTGGACCTATACAAGATAGTTAGCATCCTATTTTATCAGCTGCTTTTTTTATTTATGACTCATCATCCTCCTAGAATTGGGGGAGTAGATAGGAGTTAATTAGTAACGGAAGATATGAATTTCAATATCTGTGTTTGCCCGAATCTCATTAACAAACAATCAAGTTACATATGTAACTGGGGGATTTTCTTTGAACCCAGTTTTTAGGTATTTCTTTTTTGGCTATAATGAATAATTGTAAATAGATATTCAGACCGGGCCGATTCAGCCATTTTATTCACTTTATTTTATGGCAAGATTACAGAAAGATTACTACTACTACACTTCAAGTCAAACAAAATATAAAAATGCATATAAAATGAGGAAATGTTTAGCTTATATGTATTGTTATCGTTCTATTTCAGTGACAACGGCCTTTCGATTTTTATGAAAAAATTAGTGACAATTGTTCAGTCTATCTGATAGATATGAAACCCCCTATTCGTTCGATTCTGATTTTATCACTCAGATGAAAGAATAAGGACTTAAATCTTCCCTTACATAAGTCTTTTTTATCCATCTCAAAAAAAAGAAATTGGATTTTTTGTTTGATCTATCTATCCGCGCTTGAAATCATTGATGATTCAATTCGAAATGAAACAGAAATTTATCTATCTTGTGGTGATCAAATGCAGCCCTTACTGTAAAATTGGATTCAAATAATGTGTCAAAGTGGGAAACTTTTTCAATTATAACTATTTTTAAACCATTTTTAATGATTCCGGAGGAGTTGAATCTTTGGTACTTGAAGAAGCGTAAGATTGATAAATCTATCCTATTGAGTCACTTGAAGATGCAAATTAAAAAAAACTTATTTTTTCGTCTTATTTATGTTTTTTTTTTATAAAAAAATGTTGTATTCATACAATCAAATATGGAGTTAAGTTGCATTTTTGTTGAGATTCCTTCAAAAAAATATCTACCCATCTATATAGAAGAGAAAAATCTAGATTACTATGGACCGACTGAACCAATGACTATTCATGATTCCATAATTGAATATTGAATCATTTCCATACCGGTTCCAATTTAGAGGAATGTTATGGTAAAACTTCGTTTGAAACGATGTGGTAGAAAGCAACGTGCGACTTGAAAGACACGATCCGTTGTGGATTCTTACATCCATCATTTTATATAGGAATGAAGGTGCTCCTGGCTCGACATCATTTGTTCTGTTCCACTAGAACCCCTCCTTTTTGTTGGGTTGTAATGTAAATAGTACATGGTGGAGCTCGAGCAGAAAGTATTGATTCATTTCTCGGGGGCAGGGATCTAGGGTTAATGCTAATCAATAAATTGGAACAACTTCGTAAGTATATCTTCGATATAGAAATAGAAATCGAAAGAATCCAATTCGAGCAAGTTTCCGCCCAAAAAGGAAAAAGAAAATTGTTGGAATTGATAAAACTCTTTCGATCCAAGGTGTATCGCGCGGGAATCCACCGTTCATATGATTCTTTGATAGAAAGAAATCACAAAAAGGGTATGTTGCTGCCGTTTTGAAAGGATTAAGGATCGCCGAAGTAATGTCTAAACCTAATGATTCAAAACAAAGATAAAGGATCCCCAGAACAAGGAAACGCCGTTTGAGTTGTCTCAATAACTGGATCAGAATGAAGAATTTAAATTGTTTTTAAATGAGACAAACAAAAAAGGGGGTTAGAGACCACTCAATAAATGAAATAAATGCCTAAAGATTTTTCTTTGAGCTATTGGGGAGTTATCCAACTTGAGTTATGAGTACAAATGATTTTTTTCTTTTTCAGTAAGGAAGAGAAGAAGAAAAAAGGGCTTAAATCATAGCCTAATTGATTTGATGATTTTATGGATCCATTTGCCATTAGAATTCTATATTATAATTCGATACATCGAAATCACTTCGAATCATTTTTTCTTGAGCCGTACGAGGAGAAAACTTCCTATACGTTTCTAGGGGGGGGTATTGTTCATCTACATCTATCCCAATGAGCCGTCTATCGAATCGTTGCAATTGATGTTCGATCCCGAAGAGAGGGAAGAGATCTTCGGAAAGTGGGTTTTTATGATCCGATAAAGAATCAAACTTATTTAAATGTTCCTGCTATTCTATACTTCCTTGAAAAAGGCGCTCAACCTACAGGAACTGTTCATGATATTTTAAAGAAGGCGGAGGTTTTTAAGGAACTTCGTTCTAATTAAAAAAAATTCAATTCATTAAGGAATAAAAAAAAATAAGGGAGGGAGTGGTGACTTGTATATAGTTTTGTATAATTTTCTCTACTATTTTTTTATTTCCCCTTTCTCTTGTTCTATTCATACCTAATTTATCTTTATCATTGCTCCCATAGAATCCCATGTTCTATAACGGCAAAACCTTATTTTATGGATCCTGGAAATATAAAATTCTAGCATTCCCCTCAATTGGTTGGTTTTCGTTGGAACTCCACTAACAAACAAGGAATAAAGTTTGCCTATTTCACTTAATAT